GCATGGCTGGGTCTCAGGGCTAGGTTATCAGCGGGGCGGACATGAACCTGGGGAAGGTGGGAGACTTGTCTAGCCAAGGAAGGAGGTGGTGCTCGGGCCGAAGCTGGCGCTTTCCAAGAAACACGCGCCGCCCGCTGCTGCCCGCCAGCAGCTTGGCGCTGACCCCGCTGGCCAGACCCACGCTGTCGCCCTGGCTAAGGCCACGATGGAGCATGGGGAGGGGACCTGGCGCGCCCCTTCCCCGCAGCCCGCCCTCATAGGCCGCCAGCTTGGTTCCCTCTCTCAGTCCAGAAGCGGGAGTCCCGCCAAACCCCTCCTGCTTGGCCGCCGTTTCTGGGGCTCAGTGCACCCACCCTCGCGGTCCCCTCGACCTTGACGGTTCCTCTCTCAAACCACTGCTGCGCTTTATGCGCGGAGGGAACACTTCGGAGACTCCGCCTGTCCACTTCTCCCAGAAAAGCCTGTTCCGCAATTCCCACCTTGCACTCCTCCCCTCCCAGACCTGCGCCCCTGCCCCGCAGCTTTGTCCCCTCCACGGGCTCCTTCCTGACGCCACGTACCCATATTTACACACTCAGAGCCCCAGCTTCTCTCCGCCCTGTCAGCTGCCCCACACTCGGTCGTCGCGTCCCCTCCCCTCGGCTCCAGCAGGGGCGCGTCCTGGGTTGGCCCCACTGAGCCGCCAGGCCCCAGAGTCTCATCCAGTGCCTGGCGCGGAGTGGGGTCCATTTGGAAAAAGCCATTGGGTCGTTCCACTCCTAGCTGGTGAGGAGACCCTCGCTGACGACCCTTCCCAACCCTGAGCCCCGCGAGTGTGCCCAGGCCGCCTGGGGTCCCCACACTTTCTAAGGTCCTTCAACATTTTTTTAAGTGGCCCTGCCGGCAGGCCCTGTCCAGGCCACTGCCGACGACCAACCGACAGGACGAGGGACCCCCCGGCCTGGGCCGCAGCGGCGAGGATCTCTGAGCGCTGACGGTCAACTGGTTCCCTTCTGGGCGGCAGCGCCTCCGCCCCGTCTTCCCCCCCACCCTCCCCGCGGGGCCTGTAACCCGAGCCGTCCCGCCCCCCGCGCCGCGCAGCCCCTCGCGCCCGACAGCGAGTCCACAGCGCCATGGGCCGCGGGGCCTGCGCCCCTTCGGAGGTGTCAGGGGCACGCGAGCAGAGCCGCTGGTTCGGAGCTGCCCTGGGCGCCCTTTGTCTGGTTCCCGTGCTGATGCTGCTGGCCTGGCCGGGGGTCCCCGCGCCGCAGGTGAGAGCAGTCGGCCGCGCGGAGCTGGGAAGGGTTCCATGGTCACATTGCTGGGGATCTGTGAGCTGGGACACCCGTGTGTCCATGGGTGGGTCAGTGAGTCTGTGGGTCCTGCCACTGGTCTGGGGAGGGGGGAAGGAAGGAGTACATCTGGCCCCAGCCCCGCCCACTCTATTCTTGTCCAATTTTCAGTAACCGTTTTCTGGTGCAAAAGTAACAACCGCTCTGGGGAGGAAAGGGACAAATTTGGGGTGTAGGGCATGGGTAAGTGGGATAGTCAACACTGTAGCCTCGCATCCCCTGTCCCAGCCTCTTCCCCCAGCCTCACGGTTAGGACCCTCCTTCCTGTCTCCCCACACACTTGGCCACTTTTCTTAAAGGGAGATGTGGAGACGCCAGACGCTGTGGCCATTCCTGCCGCCCCAAGCCTAGGGAAGTCACTCCCTCATATGCCCCGCAGACGCCGCTACACGCTAACCCCAGCCAGGCTGCGTTGGGACCACTTCAACCTCACGTACAGGTGCGGACACTGGACTGAGGGCAACTCCTGCCTGCACCCACGGCTTGACTTCTCCTTCCCTTCTGGAGCCTCTCCTCCCACAACCCACCTCCCCCTCCCCAACTCCTCATTCCCCCCCTTCAATCCTGACCTCAACCTCTGGTGTCCTCCTTCCTCCCCCTTCCCTTAGCCCCTCCTAACCTCAGTCTCTCTGCATTGCCTTCACACCCTCAAGCTCTCCCTCACCACCCACCTCATGGACCTTGATACTTAGTGCCCTCCCTCCCACCACCCAGCCGGGACCTCAGCTCCTGATGCCCACCCTCCCATCATCCCATCCCTAACCCATCCTGCTCTCCCTCCCACCACCCAGACTTCTACCCCTTGTGCCCTCCTTTTCGCCACTCCAACCTTGCCCCTTCGTGCCCTCTCTCCCACAGCCCTTACCTCAACCCCTCCCTCCTGACCTCCTTCCCATCACCCTTGGACCCCTGTGCCCTCCTTCCCACAGCCCTGACCTTCCTCCCTCCACCCCCAGGATCCTCTCCTTCCCACGAAATCTGCTGACTCCCAGTGAAACACGTCGGGGCCTGGCTGCTGCATTCCGCATGTGGAGTGACGTGTCCCCCTTCAGCTTCCGTGAGGTGGCCCCCGAGCAGCCCAGTGACCTTCGCATAGGTGGGCACCTGCCCTGCCCTGGCCCGGCCCTGTCTGAAGCCCGCTCAGCCCCCTGCTCCCCCCAGGCTTCTACCCAGCCAACCACACGGACTGCCTGTCCTCTGCTCTGCACCACTGCTTCGACGGCCCCACCGGCGAGCTGGCCCACGCCTTCTTCCCCCCACACGGGGGCATCCACTTTGATGACAGCGAGTACTGGGTGCTGGGCCCCACACGCTACAGCTGGAAGAAAGGTAACCCGGGCTGTCCTGCGTTGGGCCACCCCTCCCCATGATGTGGCGGCTGGAGGAACTCAGGCAGGGTGACTGTTTGGGGTCAAGTGGCTGGGTAGGGAGCCAGCAAAGGGGAGGAGCACAGGCCTCATCTCCAGCTCCCCAAACCACCCTTCCCCTCCTGTGGCTGCTGAGGGCTCTGAGCTGCATTCCTGGGGCACGAGTCACCTCCTGTCCGGGATGCTGTTATCTTTCGAGGCCGAGGCGGCTCCACGTGGCACAGCCAGCAGGGTGGAGGCGCCCGGCCAGGGTCTTTGCAGCGCTGACCCCCGGGCCTGCAGGCGTGTGGCTGACGGACCTGGTGCATGTGGCAGCCCACGAGATCGGCCATGCGCTGGGCCTGATGCACTCACAGCACAGCCGGGCCCTCATGCATCTCAACGCCACACTGCGGGGCTGGAAGGTGCTGTCACAGGATGAGATGTGGGGGCTGCACCGCCTCTACGGTGAGAAAATGGGAGGGAGGTGCCTGCAGGTAGGGCTGGGGGTTCCTGCTACTGGTGGTGGAAGAGCGGTGCCATTGAGGGCAGAGGTTGGTCACAGGAACCCAGGTGGAGGACTGGAGGATTCTAACTACCACCCTCCTCAGGCTGCTTGGATCGACTCTTTGTGTGTGCATCCTGGGCACGAAGGGGCTTTTGTGATGCCCGCCAGAGGCTCATGAAGCGACTCTGCCCCAGCAGTTGCGACTTTTGCTATGGTGATGATGTTATGACTGATGGGTGGGGACCTGCTCAAGTTATCCTGATGCTCTTAGCCGTGAGATGAGGCTACTGACGTGTCACCCCTTTCCCTGGAGCAGAGTTCCCCTTCCCCACAGTGGCTGCTACCCCACCACCCCCCAGGACCAAGACCCGACTGGTGCCTGAAGGCAGGAACATGACATTCCGCTGCGGTCAGAAGATCCTACACAAGAAGGGCAAAGTGTAGTGCGTGCTGGGGGGTCTGCGTGTCGGAAGCCGGGAGGCAGGGGTCAACAGGCAGGTGTGTCACCTAACCTCCCTGCCTCCTCCTGCCCCTGCAGCTGGTACAAGGACCAGGAGCCCCTGGAGTTCTCGTACCCTGGCTACCTGGCGCTGGGGGAGGCGCACTTGAGCATCATTGCCAATGCCATCAATGAAGGCACCTATACGTGTGTGGTTCGCAAACGCCAGCGCGTGCTCACTACCTACTCCTGGCGCGTTCGCGTACGGAGCTAGTGTGCCTGCTCCAGCCGGGCCTGCAGAAGGGGAACGGATAAATGTGCTTTCTCTACTAGTTTGTTTCTCCCTGTTCTTGCAAGAGGGGTGTGATAGCCTTGGGCTGGAGGCCTGGGAGGGAACAGACTCCCCACTTGGGGAATCACAGCTCCTTGGGGTCAAGGTACAGCTTATGAAGGGAGGGACAGACTTTCCTAGTTGGGCTCATCGCAGGGTGGGATAAGGTGACACCCAGCAGCCATGGGGCATTGCTGGGGGTGTAGACTGAGCTGAGGCAGAGGGGGCCAAGGGAAAATCCCTCCTGCAGGAGACAAAGGAATGCGGCAGCTGGGCCTCCAAAACCTTTCCTGTTGGGGCATCAGAGGCTCACACAGAGGCAGGAGGCCCCAAGCCCCTGTCGCCAGAAGGTGGTGTCCTGGTTCAGCTAGACCAGATGCTGCAGGCCAGGAAGGAGCTATAGGGCTGCCCTGTTGTCCTTGGCCCCCAGCCCTGGGTCCTGGCCTCCATCTTATGGTTTCTTAACTGAGTTCCAGTTCCTAAGGCAGCTGGGGGAGGTGACACTGGAAATGAGGTCAGAGAGCAGCAAGCCCACTACTTCAGGCTGTCATGTGCTCTGTGTCTCCAAGCCAAGGAATGGTACGGACCAGACTCAGTTCTAGGCCAAATGCCAGAAAGAAGACACCCCTGCCTTTTAAAAAATAGCTTACTACATTTAACTCCCCAATCCCCACCCTGTGTGAGGACAGCAAACCCAAGGTACTGGGAGGCCTGGGCTGGTGTTTGCAGCTTCCTGGATTATGCTGAGGGGAACTCAGCTCATCCACCCAGGCCACCGAATTGGGCAATCCCAGGAGGCAGGAAGGCATTCACTCCAGATGCTGAGCAGAAGGTCTGCAGGCCTGAGAGGATTCCTGCCAAGATTAAGACCCAGATACGTCCCTCCCTCAGCACTGGCTCCAAACGAGCATCATTGTGTCTGCACTCTGCATGGGCTGCTTCTTGCATTGTGCACCAAAGTGTGTGTGTGCCATACCCACTGGCCCCTTAATACCTAGCTTCTCTGCTGGGCATTCCCAAGGCAAGTCTCATCCATCTGAAAAAAAAAAACAACAAAAAAAACCCCACAACCTTTCCCTCTACAACAAGGAAAATATGATTTTAATTCTACAAATTTACAAGCCAAAATGAAATAAAAATAAAATGTGGAAAACGAAGTTAAGAACATGACAAGGAGCTCTGAGCCTGGGCCTCGCGGCCCCAGTGGTCCCTACAGTTCGAGACTGGGGCCACAGTCTGGACTATGCCACTGCTCAGGCCTGTCAATGGGAGCTGAGTGCATGCGGCCAGAACCCACCCGCAGGGGGGTGGGGTGTGCCAAATTCTGCTGAGGTCAGAACTTGAGGCTGAAGCCAGGACCAGCAGCTGAGGCCCCTTGGTTTGTGGTGGTCAGGTGGAAGCCAGTCTCCTTGAGGTCATCATCACCCTGGAGTGAGGGGGACAAATTAGTGTAGCCTGAAGACCTGCCCCCCCAGCTGGCCTTGCCTGTGAGGACACCCCTCCAGCCCGTTCCCTATGTGGATCTTCTTGCCTGACAGCTCAGCCTGTGAAAAGCCCTTCTTCCCCGTCACACTGCTCCTCATAGCTGACGACAGCCTAGGCGCCTTCTCCACCCCCCACCATCCCACCTTGAGAACTATCTCCCCTGGTGGTCCCTCACCAGCTGACTGTTGCCCAGATCCTCCTGTCATCCCACCTTGAGGCCCCTCACCAGCTGACTATGGCCCAGGCCCCTGCCCGACCCCCATAACTCCACCCTTGAGAGCTCTCCCCTTGAGGCCTCTCACCAGCTGACTATAGCCCAGGCCCCCCTCGGGTGGCCGTGGGCTGGTGCCTCGCTTCACTCTCTGCTGCTCACTCTTGGCGGGCCACGTGGGGAACATGGAGGGGTCTATGGGCAGTGGGGTCTCACGGAAATACTCATGCTTGAGGCCATCTTCAGCGTTGATCCTTCGCCCAGGGAAATACGTCAGAAACCTAAGTGGAATAGGGTATTTGGGGTCCAGGGCTCAGCAGGACGGTTGGGTTCAGGGGTGGGGCTAGGACAAGTGAGAGGTCAGGGAATGTGGAGAGACGGATGGTTCTAGAAGGGTGCTTGTGGCGGATAGCACATGGCACCGCAGCAGCAAGAGTGAAGCAGCTGCCCCCCCAACCCCGGGGCGGGGGGGGGGGGGGGGGTAACTTACTTGTTCATAAGGTCAAAGCCCTGGTCTGAGAGCAGTGCCCCGAAGCGCTTGCGGAGATTGTTGTAGGGGTACTCGGTGAACGTCATCTTCTTGACTGCGGGCAAGTCACTGTAGCCAGGCCAGATTTTCTCACTGGGGGTCCCCAGGTCCTAGGAAGGTGAGCCACACTTCACTACTGGCTGGCCCCTCCACAGACAAGAGTCTACCCCCTGGCAGCTGATTCCCAAGTCTGACCAGCAGAGGAAGGCCCCTGAGTGGCCGCCAAACTTGACCAGGCCCAGCACGCGGCACTCCTACCTTAAACACTTTGTTGATCTGGTCAATCTCCGACTTTCCAGGGAACAGGGGCTCCTGAGTCAGCAGCTCTCCGAAGATGCAGCCCACAGACCACATGTCGATGGCTGTGGAGTATTCCTGCAAAGCCAGGGTATGCGGCTGAGTTACTTCCACCATAGGCGGCTCTGCACTGTGAGGGCGGGGAGGCCGCGGAAGCCTGCGGGCTGCCTCCCCCTCCCTCCCGGCAGCCATGTGCACTCACCTTGGCGCCGAGCAGCAGTTCTGGGGCACGGTACCATAAGGTCACCACAACAGGGGTGTAGGCCTTCAGTGGGGAACCATACTCACGCGCCAGCCCAAAGTCCCCCACCTGGAAAAGCAAAGGAAGAGGCTGTGACAGTATAGCAGCAGGGGCTTGGGGAGGGCGGGGCATGGTGGTGGAGATGAAGGTGGCAGTGGAGGGGACAGTGGAAAAGGCAAACCCACCTTGAGGACCCCCGCATGGCTCAGCAGCAGGTTAGATGTCTTGAGGTCTCGGTGCAGAATCCAGTTATCATGCAGGTGCCTCACTCCCCGCAGAAGCTGGATCATCAGAGTCTTCACCTCCCCTGGTGGGTATAAGCAGGTCAGGTGCCGACTCCCCCCTCCCCGCCCCATGGAGGGTTGGTTCCCAGGATGTCTGCTCGGACCCTGAGACTGCAACAGTTCTGGTGCCCAGCAACCCAGCATTCTTCCTGGGGCCAGAGTTCACGGATGGGAAGTGCTTCCACTCAAGAGACCCAGGAGCCCCACCAGTTAGTTCCTGCTACTGACCCCCATGGTAAGGACAGGGAGGTGAACGCTGAAGGATCAGTGAAGGCACGCCACCCTCACAAAGTAACTTGCACTGCCCCTCCCTCCCAGCATCCTCTCAGAGGCACCTGGCAAGAAGGGCTGCTTCATGGTCTCCATCAGGCTCTTGAGGTCATGCTCCACGTAGTTCATCACAATGTAGATCTTGTCCATGTTGCTGCCCACGACAATCTCCTAAAAACAGAGTGTGTGTGAACACGGGTCCTACAGGAGGGGCCGTGGGGGTCCCTGCTCCAGGAGAAATGACACCTGGGTGCACACCTTATAGGACAGGGAAGACCCCACTATTTCCATGACAGCAAGGGTATATGGCACCCAAAGAAATGCTGGCCCACAAGCCTCAAGACCCTGGGAGACATGGGGCACTCTTTCTAGGGGCTGTGGGGTGTGTGGCCTGGGCAGGCTGGGGTGGGGCTGGGGGAGTCTTACCCTGACAGTGACAATGTTGGGGTGCTGCGCCTTGAGGATGGTGTTGATCTCTCTTAGTGACGTGATGGGAAATCCCTCTTTTTCCTTCTCCATTTTCAGCCGTTTCAAAGCCACAATTTCATCTATAATAAAACAGTTTAAATACAAAAACTAAGACAATGTTCTTAAGCAGACAGTCACATCAAGAGCATCAGTGCATTTACTCAGTTCTATCTTTGCTTATGCCAGAAGCCCAGGCTGGGTTTAGAAGGGGTCGTGGTACTAGGGATATTGCAGCTGATGTTAGATGGATCTTAGCTGAAAGCAGGGAATACCAGAAGAATGTCTATCTGTGTTTCATTGAGTATACATAGTAATGTATATT